TATGATTTCTATTAAACCATTTGGAGTAGGGCCATTAGAAAGCTAAGAGAAGGCTTAGCATAGGTGAGGAGGAAGGAAATAATTGTTGGAGTCAGAAAAGCCAACGAGAAGTACAGGTTAATAAAGATAAATAAATAAAGGAGCTGCAAATATGTACAGAAATTTAAAAATAAAATGTCAAGAGATGTCTTGGGAAAATCCCAGTAAAATCTGATATGCAACCAAATTGTGTCATCGTGCTCAAACCTGAGTAATGGTTAGCCTTTCTAATTTCTTCTATATTTATGTAACTTTTTAGAAGAAACCATACCAATAAAGATGGAATTAGTGTATTGAACATCTCTCTTGGTTTTATTTCCTAAAATTTCATCTTATAAAATCTTCCGCTCAGTTGCAAAAAATTAAGCAACCTGCAAAATATATAGTTTTAAGAATATCTGGATAATACGGTATATGCTCTGATTTAAATGTCCTATTTTGTCTGAAGCATTATATTTGGAGTATATTCATTTACATTCACTTTATTTTTATTTTTGTACATTCAGTTTAAAGACGACATTTGTAAAAGTAACTGCCTTCACTGTTAAACATGGCTGGTTTGAATACAAATAGGTAGAAATTATGTTAATTAATTTGGAAATGAATAGCTTGTAAACAGATAACCAGTGAAGAACTTACTATCAAACAGGCTGAGAAAGAAATAAGCATGAAAATGACTTTATCATTAAGCTAAACAAGGAAAAAATGTATAATGAAGGCAATATTACTTTATGGTAAGAGCCAGAAAACTGCATTTTGAATTCTACTCTTTGATACATAAACCCCATGAATTTGGTCAAGTTACCTTACTCTGGCTTCAGTTTTCTCAGTTTGAAAAGCAAGAATAATTGAAAACAAAAGAAAAATAAGAATAATAATGTCTGCTTTATAATATTGATATGGACGTATTGGGGCTCGTATTTGTAAAGTGCCTTGTTGGTGCCTTGTAAGGAGTTATTATTGCTCTATGCGATATGCAGAGTCCCAAGAGACTTAAAACATCAGCTGAGCACAGATATGTCAATCTTTAGTGATTTAACCTGTTTGGAATCCTGGTAGTCCCTGGAGTATGAATGAGTCTTATTCCTAAATCTTTTTTTTAAGTTCAATTTGTATGCTAGTTACAATAGTTACATAAGTTTCACATCTAATGTCAATCGATTAGTTAAATGTTTGTCTTAATACACAAGTACAGTATATAGTGTGCCTTTCTATGCCTACAAACCATTAAGGAAAGACGTTTGGACACACTAAACATCTTTAGCATACTACTAGTTCAACATCAGAGTAATGATAATAATGTTTTGGCACATCCCAAAGTGACTCATTTATTATTAGGAACCATTGTATGTACCTTGAGTTTTTATACAACAGGCTTTACAGCATTAGTCCATAACTTAAGTATTACTTAAGTTGGACATTCTTAACCTGTGCACAGCCTATATTGCTTGTTTTGAAACTGAAATTACACTACTTAATAA